AGGCAACCAATCGATGTGTTTCTCTCACATCAATATTTCTGTCTTTTCCTCTCTCTTTTTCTCTTTCTAAAAATCAATGGGAAAAAAAAATCATCAATGGAAAAATATCCTTGGGTGAGGATTGAAAAAAAACAAACAAAAAAAGAATACCATTTGTCCTGACATTCAGAAACATGTAGTATAAAAATAAGAAAATACAGAAGTCACAGAAGAAAAAAAATCCCATTTTTTAATGTATGCATGGTACATAGATGTATATATATTACAAGGTGGTATTGTCATCCTTTAAAAGCGGTTTGCTGACCACGGCCCTAGCCGATTTGGCTCAGTGGATAGAGCGTCAGCCTGTGGACTGAAGGGTCCTGGGTTCGATTCCAGTCAAGGGCATGTACCTTGGTTGCAGGCTCTTCCAGGGCCCGAGCCCTGGTTGGGGTAATTCAGGAGGCAACCAATCGATGTGTTTCTCTCACATCAATATTTCTGTCTTTTCCTCTCTCTTTTTCTCTTTCTAAAAATCAATGGGGAAAAAAATCATCAAGGGAAAAATATCCTCGGGTGAGGACTGAAAAAAAAAGAATACCATTTGTCCTGACATTGAGAAACATGAATGTAGTATAAAAAATAAGAAAATACAGAAGTCACAGAAGAAAAAAAAAATCCCACTTTTTAATGTATGCATGGTACATAGATGTATATATATTACAAGGTGGTATTATGTCATCTTTTTAAAAAATATATTCTTATTGATTTCAGAGAGGAAGGGAGAGGGAGAGAGAGATAGAAACATCAACAATGAGGGAGAATCATGGCTTGACTGCCTCCTGCACGCCCCACACTGAGGATGGAGCCCACAACCCCCGAATGTTTCCTGATCAGGAATTGAACTGTGACCTCTTGATTCATAGGTCGATGGTCAACCACTGAGCCATGCCCACTGAGCTATGTCATCTTAATCAGTTTCTTCAACAGGACTTTTGATGGCTACAAATAAACTATAATTTACTTAACAATCATAGAACATTGGGCATTTTGCTTGTTTTTCACATCTGGGAGCATATATGGGGTAGTATAGAAAGAGCCCGAATTGGTCAGTGATAATTAGGAGAAATGTAAATCAACCCCCCAGGAATCTTGGGAGATATTTTAGAAATGCTGGTTTCCCGCTTAAAGTGAAATAGGGGTTTGAACCAATTGCACTTAAAAAAAAATTTTTTTTAAGCTTGCAACGCGGGTGGTATGCCCTTGACCGGAATCCAACCCGCGACCCTTCAGTCCGCAGGCAGATGGTCTAACCACTGCGCCACACCGGCCAGGGCCCCTGGCGCTTGTGTTGAAGGGCAGTAACCCCTGCAGAGGCCCACGGATGACTCAGGACTCGGTGGAGGGGTCACCCGGGCAGCCGATCCACGGACACGCGCGGGGCGCAGAGGCCGGCCTACCTTTACGCATCCCTTCAACCTCCCACCCCCATCTCGGGCTCCATTAACCATCTAATCTCTTATTCTCCCCTCTCCGCGCCTCCACCCGAGAGCTCCTCTTCGAACGGACACAAAACGAAACACCGGTCCCTTTGACTGTCGCTGCCCCCGGAGCCACAGGCCTCCGTTCGCCTCCAAACTCGCGGAGAGCATCCCCGGGGACCGCACTCCTCGCCCGG